ATCAAAGATGGAGCTTCAATTATCAACACAGTGAAAATTAATTTTTTAAAGTGTTTGAGGTGCTTATATTTATTCAAACCTGACATAGTCAAAAAAAATTTTTTTTAATTTTCTTAAGAAAGTTGTATTTTAGAACCCAGAGACAGCCCGGTTATCTAAACAATGGGCTACATGATACACCATAGTCTCCAGGCAAAGTCACAACAGGATGAGAAAAAAGCCTTCGGCTTCTCTCAGATTTCCTGGCCGCTGTTATTTTAAAACTTCATCACACAAACATAAACAGAGGAAAAAATCCATTTCAGATGAGCCCCATGGGTTCCAATTTATGATGTTTTCAAGACCTTGCATTACCTTACAGTAAATATTGCAACAACACATTACATTTTTTCTTGTTTGTGTTTCCAGGCACTAATAAAGAATACATGTGCATTACATGTAGTTTCATATATTACAAATATTTAGTTTTTAATCATAATCTTTTCTTAACGTTGCTCATCACTGCTGTTTGTCCCCTTTTAAACTAGTTTTGGAAAACTAAAAGGTAACTTAAAAAGCCAACAATTAATAGCATGTCACACAGAACATACAAATGCAACGGGCAAATCTGCATTAGACGAAAACGACTTCTGTTTACCACTGTGCAAGTAATTCTGCACAACTGAACATACTCAAAATGAGCTGGATATTTAAAAGTCAATGAGTTATTTTAAAAGGTTGCTTTGTTTCAAGCTCTGGCTGTAGATCAATTTGTAGGGTTTCTAAAATTAATAATAAAACACACCAAGGTAATTTTCTCACCAAACAATTTCCAGTGGAAAACCACAACCCAAGACATCTAAGAAGTTTAGTTAATTTGTAGAGAAATGTCGTTTTGCTGCCAACCTTTGTACCATGACCATTACCAGCCTAAGTTCAAGATTCACATTTTACAGTGTGACTAGTGTTCAGCTAAATCTTAACAATATTAATGTTTAAAACTCTCAAACCCTGACGATATTTCGCTATATTGCATCTACACCACCAGAGCATCACGGCAAATGAAACTTAGATAGCGTGTACATCAGCCCATTAAACTGGGCCATGTTCCTAGCTCCTTGTATCTGTAGATTAGGATTTAAGCATTCCTCCACACAAACTTTACGCAGATAAAACGTAATATGTTTTCTGAAACTGTATGGAAATATTTCTGACATGGATGTTCTAGTAATAACCCTATAAAATTATTTCCTATTGAAAATCTCAGAGTTTGAGCATTTTAATCGTTTTAATGAGTTCTGGAAATTAACAAAAAGGAAAAGCTCTTGCTCAGGAGCAGATATATAAATTAACAAACCCAAGGCACGAGACCACCTAAAGTCTACGAACACAGCTTCAGATAGTCCCAACCTGGGCTCCTACATGATTTAACTACTAGAGGGAGCGGCTGATCCTCACATCTCAGAACAAACAGCACTGTTCCTGCACTGAATTTTAAGCTTGTTTAAGAAAGAGAAAACTATCACGGGGCGTCCAAGGCAGAGCTGGACACCTGAGTGCTCTGCTTCCACCTGGGAGCCAGAGAAGGCACACAAAGGTATCTCGGTGACGATAAGCCCATGAAAGGAGACTCCCATTGTCCCGTGGAAATGAGAGCCAGCCCCGCGCAACCGTGAGCCGCCGCCGCCGCCCCGGCCCACTCATCACCTGCTTCACCCACCGGCGTCCCGAGGAGATGAGACCAGCCGTCGGCCCGGGGCGGCGC